TAATTGAAGCGAATGCCTTTAACGATTAAACACGCACTGAAACGGACTCCCTCTCGTTTGCGGATGGTAACCACCAGGGACTCTCTCTCTCTGTTTCAGAGGCCCCCTCCCCCAGGAAACTCCGCAATGACTCACCAGGTATCATGCCTTCAGCTTCACAGCTCATGTGTGTTGCGCTCGGTTTCCACACTTCTCTTCTGCCATCCCACCCGCCCTATCCCCGGTAGCCTCCCGTTTTGGCCCCCCCCCAAATTTCTGTGAGATTGCTGCAAAATCTGAAGGTGTGGAGATCTTAGTTCAAAACTCTTTCATCACAGCCAAGATCAACCTAAGAAGACTTCATCTCTTGACCTATGTTCCTTCCCTACTTCTGCTTTGGCAGTGTGACATGGCACTGTGTCCTTGTCACGGTGTGCTGACCGGTGTTCAGAGGCTGTGTGTGTGTGTCACCTGGATTGTTCTTACCTGCCTAAGACGGCATCTCCCACACTGTTAGGACACTTGGCCGTGCTGTCCTCCCTGGTCTGGTTAAGACCCCACCCTGAGCAGGTAGGACAGCTCCACAGTCTGGGTCCATTCCCGGAGAACGGCTTCAAGCTGGCTGGTCTGGCTCACAAATCAGAATTCAGAGGGCACAGGTTCATGGTAACCACAGCCCAGCAACCGGATCCCCCCCCGCAGCTGGGCTTTCACAAACACGTCTGCGAAAGAAATGAGCTCTCACCGCGCGTTGTACAGTTGCTGAGGCTGCGTGGGGCTGAAGCAAGGCCGGGCTGCTAGCTGCATTTCCAGCACACGAGGGCGCATGTCAGCCACCTTGGAGCCAAGCGGGGTCCTGGCAGAGCCTTTTCCAGAGGTCTTGGGGGCACATACTCAGAGTGGGGAGTGGACACCCAAGACTGGAGGAAGAACACAGGGCCCTTCCCGAGAAAGCATTAAGAGGCCTCGACTTGTCTGGGAGTCTAACAGCTTTAGCACATGTGAAGTTAGGCACTGGGGCTGGGTTTCCCTCTCATCTTCCTCGAGAGGCCAAGCCAGCCCTGGCTGGTGTCCCCCTTCTGCTCTTTTGGAGAATCTCAGCTTTGCTGCTACTATGCAAGTACTTAAAGCTGATTGAGGTATTGGCAGGAACTTTAGGAAGAGCTTTCAGCCTCTAAGACAGAGCTTCTGGCTCCTGCCAGCTCAGACTGGAACGTCGGACCCACTAGTTGATGGGAAACCGAGTCCTTGCAAAGCAAGTGCTCATAGTCTTGTGCTGATTCATGGTGTGCCCCCAGGGCCTTGCAGAAGTTCTGAGAGTCCATGGCTAGAAGCCAAATGCTCCAGGATCAGAACCTTTAAGAAAATCTTTACCGGGGGGGGGTTCCCTTATTTCATGTGACAGATGTAGCCAGTGCCAATCTCTGCCTTGAATTTGAAAACAGTTCCTTCAAGAAGGGCACCTGAACTGGGAGACAGGCTCACAGGACTGGCGGCTAAGCAGGTGGAGGGAGGGGGGAGGCTTACGGTGACCCCGGGTGTGATTTACCTCTCAGATCATTTCTCAGTTTAACTCTTCTCACTTGCACAGACTGTTCCAAGAGGTAAAGAGTGCTTGGAGCCTGGAATGGTAGGGGAGACCGTTTGCAGCCCCAGGCTGTCCCATCAAGTTGGAACAGGGAGGGGAGATGCAGGAGGAGACCCATGCGAGCAGCAGCCGCTACTTTTTCTGTCCTGTCCTCAGAGACCCTTCTCTGGGACCCAGGTTCTTGGAAAGCACAGTGCTCAAGACTTTTTAAGGTCACTTCTAGAAGAGAGAGAGTGATGGAAAGTGAGTTAGTTCTAAGGGCGCTGGGCACCTCCAGGCTTCCCTCTGATGTGAGTGAGGCTGGCCAGAGTCTTCAGCTGGGAGTGGCTACAACCTGAAGTATTCATTCCTGATCACTGCGCCCCTGGAAGTACCATTCTCTGAAACTGGGCAGGTTTTCCCAGCCATGTTTCTCCCACCCTCAGACCCCAAAAGGCTCAGGTTGGGACTCCCCTTCTCAGCGATCAGGGCACTCTGGGCCTTGCTTTGCCTCCAATCTTACCTCTCTGAGTTGCCCCTTTTGATAAAGTATGGATAACTGGAATGGGCTCTCTCCCTCGTGGCTTTTCTGTCCAGCCTTTGTGTGGTGAAGTGGGCCATTTTCGTTACAAAGAGTCTGCACTCCTCTCAAGCATCCTAAAATGAGTTAAGACAGGTCCTCCGATTCAGGTCAAACAGGGCCGGATGGCCAGAGCCCAACAAGATTATTTGCTGTGGTCGCAGAAAAGATGGCAACCATGTCTTCCAAGCAGAGGAGGTTGAATGCAGGTGGATCGGACTGCTCCTTCTGCCTGCCTGCCTGCCCTTCTAAGCAAAGCCTCACTTCAGGTGACCTGGGCAGGCTCCGGCAGTAACTCAGGGCATCTGGCACTCCAGAGATGGGAGCTGTTAAGGACAGAGAGGGTGTCCTACCAGCTAGAGCTAAAATACACCTCGGATTAACAGGTCTATCTCACTTTTCTAACAAATATTCATTGAATATTTATTATAGGCCATGCATGGTGCCTGCATGGTGAGCAAAAATCAGACAAGACCTCCGCCCTGTGAGAACTCATGCCAAGAATTCTGCTCCACACAAGCAGGGGGCCCTGCGTTGCCTGAACCAAGAGCACACTTCTGGCATCCATGCAGTGACCTCTCTCCCTCGAGGCTGCCTTTGATGCTCATTTCCACCTCCTTACAACTGAAAACCTAAACCACCCCCCCCTTTTTACCTCCTGAAGGCAAGGAGGTACAGCATGAGAACATGTTCCCCTTTATACCGGCCCCAGAGGGTATGAATAAACCCATGGGAACGTGCTAAGCAGAGTCCCCTGGGTTTGGAATAAACCCATGGGAACTTGTTTTTCCCTTTTCTAAATGAAAGACCCCAACAGACCAGAATCCTGTGGGTCATTGGATGACCAAGCCCGATTTTTTTTTTTTTTAAGCAGATGGCCTTGCTTTGAAAAATCTACTTTTCCCCCATGCCAGCTGATGAAATGCTACCGAACTTTGAGACTGGTCAAGGCTTGACTTCAACCTGAATACTTGTCTCTCATTTGAGTTTGTCTGCATTTGTTTTTTGCCCCTTGAAAAATCTCCTCCCTTCTCGAGGGAGATTTTGGTACTCAAGAAACACGTATTCTCTTAAATCCCACAGGCGAGGAAACGAGACCTCTTTTGTTCCGGCTAGAAGGTCTGGAGGACGTCGGGTCATTGAAAACGCGGACGGCTCTGACGAAGAAGTGGATGCTCGCGACGCGGATTTCAACGGAACCAAAGCCAGTGAATGAACGACTTGCTATAAACGGAACAAAACCAAACCCAGTGGACTCTGCTTAGCACCGTCAAAATCCATCTTCAAATTCCAAACGTCACAGACACCCCTCACGATGACTATAAACACCACCGCCCTGAGTCCGGGGCATCAGTGGAACTTTTGAGTGATGTACCAAATGAGAAAAACCCAACAGGCGACACAGACCCCACCTGCTGCCCCTATCGGTGAATTGTGCCGAAATTGTGAGGTTTTGGGAAAGATATAACCACCGTAACTGATCACTGGCAACTGAGTTTACATGACAGGGGGGAGGAAGTCACCAAAGTGGGTGCCGCCGCCTCCCCCTCCCAAGTCATTCCCATACCCTTCCAATGTGTCGAGTGGGCCCCTGTTTGAGTTCTTTCCCCTCCTGGTTACCACACCTCAGATGCACACAGTTCACGGAGACCAAGTGCCTTCGGTAGTCACAGGAATTAAAAAGGAGACTGCTCCAGCGGGTAAGAGCAGGAATGTTACACTGTTTTATATGCACCCCGATTGTACTTAAGGACACCCTCACGAATAAAAGGTTATAAATCACTGGCATGCACTCAGCGCTTCTGTCGTTTTCGAGAGTGAAAGAATGGGGGAGGGGCGTTCTCATTGAAGCCGTATGGTGACCCTGTGAAATCAGCTTATTCTTCCTTCATAAACGGGGAAACTGAGGCCTAGAGAGGTGAAATCAATTGTCCGAGATCCCACAACTGGCAAAAAAAAAAAAAAAAGGCAAGCAGAGATGTCACAGGAGTCTGTGTTGAGGGGACTTCTCCAACCAGAGGTGGGAGGCTCCAGGCCCAAGAAGTAGGAACGTGACCAAAAAGAACGTCCTTATCAATTCAAACCCATACATACATACTGGGAAGAATACAAGACATCCTTGCATTTTAAAGTTAAAACACAAGACCTTCATCCAGCAGGGGCCAACTGACTTTCTGTGAAGGCCAGAGAGTCAATATTTCAGGCTACGTATGGTCTCCGTCACATGGTTATCTTTCCTTTTTAAATTTTTTTAAGATTTTTTTTTTTTTTTTAATTTATTTGACAGAGAGAGAAAGACAGCGAGAGAGGGAACACAAGCAGGGGGAGTGGGAGGAGAAGCAGGCTTCCCGCCAAGCAGGGAGCCCGATGCGGGGCTCGATCCCAGGACCCTGGGATCATGACCTGAGCTGAAGGCAGACGCTTAACGACTGAGCCACCCAGGCGCCCCTAATTTTTTTTTTAAATAACCTTTAAAAACATAAAAACCATTCCTACTGCGGGGGCCATACAACACCAGGTCGTAGGTCCTTTCCTTCCTCAGCTTGAGTGTTCCAGACAGAGATCCCTTGCAAAAGTTCTGTTCAACACAAACAATTCCACACACCGACTCCGTGGGGTCCAAGAGATTTGAGAAGAGAAGAAATAAGGCAAACTGAAAAACTCAGCCAGTGACCAAATGCGAATATACCCTGAGCAATACACAAACATACCCCAATTACACTTACTTCTAAGAAGCTAACTTGAAGGGAATTTTTTTAAAGTAGGGTTTTTTGTTCATATTTAGTTACTTGGTTAAAAAACAAGTTCTTCGCCACCATACGAGCGAACATAAAAGCACAAACGAAGAGGCATTTACTGACCACCACGACAAGCTAGGTGAAAATTAGTTTCTCTTGATTTTATTGTTCTTTTAAAAAAATAAAAGTACGTCTTTCACCGATACAGGTTAGAATGTTCCCAGGGTAAGGAGCCGGGCACCAGAGATCAATTCTCTGTTGAATTTCAGTAGCACTTCTAAAGTTCTATCTTCAACTCAAGGATATTTTTGCTATTCTTTTGGAAAAATAACTTAGTAACAAAAGGTCATTAAGCTGCATGCATGCTCCTGAATTCGTGTGTTCTTTTTACTTGCCTCCAAAAGCGTGAGATGGCAGCTCACACCAAGCAGGGTTGAGTACATATAACATCCGCGTGGAAATCCCGTGTTTGTTTCTTCTTTGACAAGGAAGCTTCCAACAACAATCCTGTGGTTTAATCTTATTTGCAGGTCACCCCGATTATTTTATCAAGGCTTTGAATGATGTCCTACTCTTAGGGGTTGCATTCCCAAGGCCATGACCCTAAAGACCGTCAGGGTCCTGAAGCGGAGGTCACCCTCAGGCCAGGGCAGAAGTTTGAGGAAGACTAACCATCAGGATTGATCTAAAGAGGACACAGACTTTCCACTGACCTGGTCCACACGAGATCTCCTCTGAAACACAAGCACAGCTCTCAATGCCTCAGTGAGAGCCAGATTAAAAAGTCCCAGAGGTACACAACACAAGAGTTTCTTTTTAAAAAGGCATGTGCCTATTCTACTCCTCTCTCCTAGACATGATTTCATTACACAGACCCTCCCTGTGCCACAGAGCCTTGGGAGATTTTGTTCTGGAAGACGGCCTGAGTCTGAGGTGGGCTCACATCCCACTTTTAAGGCATCTCCCGACATTAAAAACACGTCTCAAAACCATTCAGGACTCAGGTCAGCTCACAATGATGGGGTAGCCTCGGCGTCCATACCTTCGAGCCCTTTCCAGAGGGTCCCGTTTGTCCCTTTCCACACCAGCAAGCAGGATGGGGATCATGACACAACATTTCCCCAGGACAACTACCAGGGGCCACGGGTGATGCCCTCATTGGCTAATGTGACTGTTTGCTATTTCTCAAACTAACTTAAAAACACAAAAACCTAGTTTAAAGAGGGGAAGAAAGGTAGGACTCCTGCACAGACACACCGGGGCTTCAGCTTCCGTGGATTTCCTAAAGCAACATCTTGACTACACCCTGGGCTGACGGCAGCGACGGTGCGGAAATATTTGAAGGCGGCTTCCCAAATTCCAGGCGTTTTCCCAACCTTCAGACAGAGCAAACCAAATTAGGTGGACATGACAGCTGTGACAGACTGGCTAGCATCGGGGCCCACAAAGTTCTAAGAGTGAATATCAAGAGTCAGGAGCAGTGTCTCCCTGGGTATCATGAAATGAAATGAAGAAAAAAAACACTGGCCAACTAGCTCACACGTTCCCAAGGCCACATGAAAAGCCCGGTCACAGAAGACCCGCTAAAAACATCCTCTTCGACAGGGTTGGAAGTTGTGTGCAAGCCATGGAAAACGAGTCTTCATGTCCTACCATCAGTCTGCCATGGGTCTACCACAGTGACGTGGCTTGGGGGCCAGGAAGATGGCGGCACGGCTTAGAAAATCAATGAATCTAGACGCTGCCCCGATTCTCCTCAGGTAAGAAAACACCCAAAGCTGTCAGAGGTCAGATCTGTGTTTTCTCATCAGGCGACTGGCTTTGGGAATCTAGTCTGGCTGGAATGGAGTGCCTGTTTCCTGAGTTTCTAAAGATTTTTTTTTCCCTTCAGGAAAAAAATCCTCCTCTGGGGGAAGGAGAGCAGTGTTTGAAGCCCAAGTCCCAAACAAGGGTTTCATACAGGACATGCTCACAGCATGACCAGGAGCTGGGGCTGCCAGAATCAAATAATGAAAATGAGCCTCTTCCTGGCCATTTGCCCTTAACCAGAAGACACCACCTAACTCTGTCTCAAGGGGGTGGAGGGTAAGGTTAACAGACATAACCCCACAACTTTTCCAAATGGCTATGAGCTCCCCCCTGGAGTGGACAGCTCAAGGTACTGACCCTTTGTCACCCAGAGGCACGCCAGAGCTGCTTGGCTGTCTCTCACCACCATCTCTGTGTTTGCTCCCCCGCCCCGAGGCTGGGCCACTTGTTCGGTTTGGGGACTGATCATACACGAAGTTCCGGCAGGACGCCAGCTTGGACTCCAGTGCCTGCAGAGAAACACGTTTTCATCCTCCAAGTTAAAGACAAGAACTCATCTCTCACCCAGAGCCTGCGCACAGACAATTACCAAAAACAGGGGTTCTCAAATTGTGTTGGACGCTGGAATTCCAAAGTGGGGCCCTGAAGGAATCCAACGTACGTCCAACTTTTAGAGCCACTGGCCTAAGACATTTCGGGGCTTCCTGGGAAAATCACTAACCCTGCCTATTATCCAGTTCTGTCTATGGGAAATAGGAAATCCACTTTTGGAATGATTCGCTCTTTTGTTTACCTCAATAAACATGCTCAGAGTGGCTTGTGTGGGAGCACTGTGCCTTGCTGGAAAGGGACCCCATGAAAACCAAGGGGGCACTGAGACCACCGCACACTTCCCCATACTCTGACTGTACAAAACATTACCAGAGAAATGTGTTGGGGCGCCTGGGTGGTGCAGTCGGTTAAGCATCCGACTCTTGGTTTCAGCTCAGGTCGTGATCTCAGGGTTGTGGGAATCAAGCCCCGCGTCAGGCTCCACTCAGTGCAGAGTCTGATTCAGATTCTCTCCCTCTCCCTCTGCCCCTCCCGCTTGTGCTCTCTCTCAAATGAATAAATAAATCTTTAAAAAAAAGAGAGAGAGAGAGAGAAATGGGTTTACAGAACAGAAAACCAGACAACCAAAAGGTGAAAGGAAAAACATGAGAAATGAGTTGCAACCTTCTTTGAGGTTGCAGTTTTGACTATATACATTCTGGCAGGATTTAAATTATGTGATCTTCCAGGCCATGATTTTTAAAAATAAAAGAAACAACCACAAAGAATACCTATGTTATTTCTTTTTTTTTTTTTTAAGATTTTATTTATTTATTTGACACAGAGAGAGAGAGCTAGAGAGGGAACACAAGCAGGGGGAGAGGGAGAGGGAGAAGCAGACTCCCCACCGAGCAGGGAGCCTGATGCAGGACTCGATCCCAGGACCCTGGGATCATGACCTGAGCCGAAGGCAGATGCTTAACAACTGAGCCATCCAGGCGCCCCACCTATGTTATTTCTTAAGCACAGAAGAATCTTTCCCTATAATGAATATAAAACCTATAAAGTCAAGTTTTTTTGCCCTAGCCTTTCGAGATTTTTGTCTTTAACTCCCTAAGAAATTTAAAAAGAGGCAATTTTTAAATGTTTCTCAGTTTTTTCAAATTAAGAAAAAAGAAAAATCATAGACACCAACCCAATTTCCCAAATTCCAACGAAAAATGACCAGGGAAAGATATGCCCAGGCAAAGAGATGACAGAGTCAGGGCTCTGGGTGTTCATCAATAACAATGCTCACAGAAGCTCAAATGATGCTCAGGGACACTAACAGAACCAGAGTTTTGCCTAAAACGCAGGGAGTCTCTGCTAAAGGGGAAAGGAACTGGTAAGGTCACCCCTCTCCGATAACCTGAAACACAGGCAAGGAGCCACACCAAACCCCAGGGAGGTGGTGGTCTTACCCCTACTTTCCGAAGCAGGTCTCCCACGATGTTGAGGGCCGATATCCGCGCTGCAGGAGTGAGGGGGGTCCCACCCGTGGAGTCATCCAGACCTGGGTGTGCAAAAGGAAGCGCACGTAGTACCAACCTGCAGTCCTAAGTCCGTGCACTAACATCCCTAAATGCAGAACAACAGGGGTGGACTTGGGAAGCTAACTCTGCCCTCTGATCCCAGATGCTACCCTGTTGCACTCACTAGTTAACTAATACAGGAAGAGTCTACTTGATGACCAAACTTTTGCAGCCTTACAACCACTATATTAAACGTTTATCTTTACGTGTTATTCTTTTAAAACAAAATTGAAATAAGTCCTCTTGAAATTCTAGGAATTCCATATAGTTAGGAACAGCACTGGAGCAAACCAAATTTGTAAGAAGCTTAACTCTCCAGAGCCCCTCTCTTTCCTCCAAGCACGACCCAGCATCAGTATCACTGGGATGCTGGTTAGGATGCAGGATCTCAGGCCCTGCCCACACCTGCTGAATCTCAGGGGCATACTCAAGTGTGGAAAAACCCTGCTCTAGACTGGGATTCTGGAAGTCTCACCAGCCTCTTGATCCCAGGGGACAGGCTAAGAGATAAAACAGTGTGAGCCCTGGAGCCAGCCGGCCTGGGTCTGAATCCCAACTCTGCTATTTACCAGCCGTATGATTTTAGGCAAGCTCCTTTATCAGGGCCTCAGTCTCCTCATCCATCAAATGGGGATAGCACTTGCATCTTGGGCCTGTGGTGAGAATTCAGTGAGGTCATATATATGCAAAGCATGCAAAGCACAGTGGCTAACTAGCACACAACGAGCACTCGGTAATTGTCTATCATTGTTACTTGCTATTAAGCGGCCCAGTAACAGTCTCGGTTAATCAGCAGAGGAGCTGGGGAGAAAACTCAAACTGTTCATTTTTTTTTTTTTACCACGCAGCCCAGGTTACATTGGCTCCACTTCTGGATGGATGTATTTATTGCTAGACCCATAAAATGCTTTTCAAATTTTTTTTTTATCTGGTTATTGAAATTTGCAATTTGGGAGATTTCACGTTCAAGAAGAGGATTTCCGGGGGCTCCTGGGTGGCTCAGTCATTAAGCGTCTGCCTTCGGCTCGGGTCATGGTCCCAGGGTTCTGGGATCGAGCCCCGTATCAGGCTCCCTGCTCGGCGGGAAGCCTGCTTCTCCCTCTCCCACTCCCCCTACTTGTGTTCCCTCTCTCGCTGTGTCTCTCTGTCAAATAAATAAATAAAATTGAAAAAAACAAAAAAATGGATTTCCGGCTTCTGATGAAGAATGAAATGTCTGCTAAGGCTGGGCCCACATTTCTTGGAGTAGGAGCAGAGTGGCAGCTTCCTTCCCCCGCTCCCCACAGACTCCACCGCTCCCCTACTACCTCACAACCAAGCTCTTCTTGCTTATCTCAAAGCTGCCTCCCCTCCCCCCGCTGCCGTGAACACCCCAGTTTGCTCCCTGCAGTACAGCCTGGCCCAGTGGCTCTCTCACCCAGGACCCTACCCCCGGGGAAAGCTTTATGAAGCAAAGAAAATCCTCGCGATGGCTATGCCCTTACCACGTCTGAACGTCCCTGGTGTGTTTAAGCTAGCACTGGGTCCCCGATGAGCTATGGGTGTGGATGGCACAGAGCCGGTGGCCTGCACTGCTGTGTCTGTCCTTTCGGCCTCCACCGAGCTGGGCATGGGGGTCCTGGGCTTCTCCTGCTTCTGCTGCACAGCCAACTCCTGCCGCAAATCTGAGACAGGACAAGGATTCAGGTTAGGTCCCCGCTTTGGGTGATAGGGGAGGGGGGGCGGTCAGCAGTAGACACTGGTCAGGGAAAAGAAGTGCCAGAACGAAAAACCATAGGTGGAAACCCTCAACGAAGTGAAACCCACAGGACCTGGCCTAGCAGGCTTGTAAAACTACGTAATTTTTTAGTAAAAACAAAAAGGTTTAAAAATTTTTAAAAACTATGGCAGTGATAGATACACTAATAAACAATTTCAGTGCAATAGGGTATATAGAATACTAAGTGAAAATATGCTTTCTCAACCCATCCCCAAATGCCTCTCCTCACTCATAATCACTATAATATGGGGGAGATATTTTCAATCCTTTTTTCTGTATTTTTAAAGAATTATGTATCTCTATTAAGCATATGATAGGAATAATTCTTATTAAGTATAAATAGAAATATATCTACCGTCTATGACAGTATGTCTTAATCTTTCTAACTATATTTCTATCTATAACAGTCCAGAAAATAAGTCTATGTAATTTTTTTAACCACTTCACTACTCATGGGCATTTACAAAACTACCTTCAAACTTAAAAAAGTTTTTTTCTTAGGGGTGCCTGGGTGGCTCAGTTGGCTAAGCGTCTGCATTTGGGCTCAGGTCATGATCCTGGGGTCCTGGGATCGAGTCCCGCATTGAGCTCCCTGCTCAGCAGGGAGTCTGCTTCTCCCTCTCCCTCTGCTCCTCCCCCTGTTCATGGTCTAATAAGAAAATAAAATCTTAAAAAAATGATAAAAATGAAGGGATACATGCACCCCAATGTATATTAAAAAAAAGTTTTTTTCTTTTTAATCTCCCTTCTACTGTCTATACGTTAGGAACTAAATTAATGTTATGAACAATTAATTGGGATGTTTAAAAAAATCTCTTCTGCACCCAGATCTACCTCTGGAACTGTGAACTTCCACAGAGCAAATGCTGATGGGAATTCAGAGCTCTAAGCCACATGCATCAGCAGCCAGCAAGCCACAAAACCAATGGGCTAGCTAGCAATTGCATCAACAAGAATTTTCTCTCCACAAAACTCTTATACTCCTACCAATCAAAAAGCCCGGGGTGGGCTTAAATATCCACAGGGGGTCTTCACAGGGTCGGACATCTGACAATTCTTAGCACGGGGTAGGGACCAAGGCTGAAGCCTGCCCAGTGTGGTTCTATACCCTTTGATCAGACTGTGTGCCGAGCAGGGCACGGATTTCCAGCAAAGGTAACACTGGGCGACACTGCAGGACAAGCTGTTCTCAGGCAGGGAGAGGAGAAAACGCTGGTCAGGGTACACAGAAAGCCAAGGCCTCCTGACCTCTGGCTTCATCCTTCAGTCGCTGAACAGATTCTAGGAGATTCTCCTTCTCATCAAGTTCACTCTCCAGGAAGGCATTTCTTTCAATGGCTTGATTCAAACGCTGCTCAAAGTCTTCCAGAGACATGATTGTGGCCCTGGTAAAGAGAAAAATAAAGCTGTCCAAGAGAGCAAACAGCAGCATCCATTTGGTGCCTACAAACCCGGGAGACAAGAAAGGCCAGACATAAGGGGGGCATGAGTCCCAGCATGGGCACTTCCTAGACACCACGGACCTGAACAAGCATCTTAACCTTCCGGGACCCAGGCTCTTTGCCTGCAGAATGAGAATCGTCTTAGCTCTTGGGGTACACAAAACTGTCCTGGGGATTAAATGAGAAAGGTCTATATAGCACTTAGCAATGAGCCAGCACCTTATTAGGATGACCCAGAGGGCCCAGCCAAATGCCAAAAGCAGCAAATCTTCTCTTGGAGACTCACAATGCAAATCAGTATTCAGAACATCCTACTAAAATCCGTACAGAACTTATTAATGTACATTTAAACAGGGAGAAGAGACCATCTTTTCAGTTACCTTAAAGAATTCAAAATGCCCAGCTGCCCTCCTAAAAACCACTTCCTCTTGTGACCACTATAGACATTTCACTGGAACGCTATTAAAGGCCTGAGAAGTGGGGTAATAAAGAAATGTGTCTAACTCTGAGGCACAAAACAGGTAGCTTGCCCAGACAGTTTCCTCACAAGCAAAGCAGAGGCAGTAACTACCTCTGCATGGTGGTGGGGGTGTCAAGGGGCAAGTAACACATTAAGCCTCCAACAGATGTTTCGCATGTGAGTGCTCAATAATTTGAGCAATTTTTATTACTGACCCCGTGTTTGTCCTGCTAATTGTTATCTCATAGTGGTTAGAAGTTTATGTTTGGAGCAGAACCCAGGAGAACCTAGCTCTTCAACATAAGACTACATAAGTGTTCCTGGGCAGCTTAACCTCTCTTAACCACTGGTCCTCAAAGTGAGGATCAACTCATGAATTCATCAATTCAATATATCCTGCTATGTCTAGACTGAATTATATTCGTACCCTCCGTCAAAGGGTCTTCAGAGAAAAATAAAGTTACCAAAAGTGCTTAAAGAAAAACAACAAAGGAATAACATTTAGGAGTACAATACTGGAAACAGTTAAAATCACCCTAAAGGTTTGACATGTCAAACAACAAACAAAAAAGATAAAACGCGTAGGAATTCATCTAACAACAAATATGTAGGATTTTACCACAGGGCACGGAAGGCTTGTTGAAATGCAGACATATGGTGTTTGTGAAGAGGAAGACCCAACATCACAAAGAAATCCATTCTCCATAAGATACCTCAGAGTTTAACAACATCCTAGTAAAAATATTAATAGCTTCTTGTTGGGGACAGTGGCACAGGGGTCTGATTTAAAAGATCACATGAAGGGCGCCTAGGTAGTTCAGTCAGTTAAGCATCTGCCTTTGGCTCAGGTCATGATCCCAGGATCCTGGGATCGAGCCCCGCATCGGGCTCCCTGCTCTGCGGGAAGCCTGCTTCTCCCTCTCCCACTCCCCTTGCTTGTGTTCCCTCTCTCGCTGTGTCTCTGTCAAATAAATAAAACCTTTAAAAAAAAATTTTTTTTAGTAAATAAAAGATCACGTGATGATAAAATAAGAATGGCCAGAAGAACTCTGAAAAAGAGAGAAGTAGCTCCCCCAGATATAAAGAACACACTATTATAAAGCCTCAATGGTGAACAACAGTGTGGTGCAGCCTTCAACAGTTATAAGGACCGACCAGGGAGACCAGAGACTCAGAACTAGATCCAAATACATAGGAGAACTTAATTTATGATAAAAGTGACATTGCAAATCACTGATGAAAAGACGGTTGATTCAGGGCACCTGGGTGGCTCAGTTGGCTAAGTGACTGCCTTCGGCTCAAGTCGTGATCAGGCCCCGCGTGGGGCTCTGTGTTTAGTGTGGAGTCCGCTTGAGACTATCCTCCATCTCCATCTGCCCCTCCCACCTGCTCTCTCTTGCAAATAAATAAATAAATCTTAAAAAAAAAAAAGAAACAAACCATGGAATTACCATATGACCCAGCAATCACACTGCTGGGCATATATTCAAAAGAAGTGAAAGCAGGAGCTCCAAGAGGTATTTGTACATTCGTGTTCACAGCAGCATCACTCACAATAATCAAGAAGCAGGGGCGCCTGGGTGGCTCAGATGGTTAAGCGTCTGCCTTCAGCCCAGGTCATGATCCCAGGGTCCTGGGATCGAGCCGCACATCGGGCTCCTGGCTCAGCAGGGAGCCTGCTTCTCCCTCTCCCTCTCTCCCTGCTCATGCTCTCTTTCTATCTCTTTGTCTCAAATGAATAAATAAAAGTCTTTAAAAAAAAAAAATCAAGCAGCAGAAGCAATCCAAATGTCCATGAACAGATAAATGGATAAAGAGAACGTGGTATATACAGTTGACCCTTGAATAATGCAGGGGCTAGAGGTGCCGACCCCTCACGTAGTCCAAAATCTGCGTGTAGGGGGCGCCTGGGTGGCTCAGTTGGTTAAAGCCAGTGCCTTTGGCTCAGGCCATGATCCTGGAGTCCCGGATCGAGTCCCGCATCGGGCTCCCTGCTCAGCGGGGAGCCTGCTTCGCCCTCTGACCCTCCCCCCTCTCATGCTCTCTATCTCATTCTCTCTCTCAAATAAATAAATAAAATCCTTAAAAAAAAAAAAAATCTGCGTGCAACTTTTGACTCCCAAAATTTAACTATGAATAGCCTACTATTGACCAAAAGCCTTATCAACAACATGAACAATTAGCACATATTTTGTATGCTATATATATTACACACTGTACAATAAAGCTAAAGAAAATGCTATTAGGGAAATTTGTAAGAGAAAATACATTCATAGTACTACTGCATTTATTGAAAAAAAAAAAATTCCACGTGTGAGTGGACCCGCGCGGTTCAAACCTGTGTTGAGTCAACTGTATGTACACTTGAATATTATGCAGCCTTAAAAAAGAAAAAAAAGGAAATCTTGTGGCACGCTACAACAGGGGTGAATCTCAAGGACACTATGCTAAGGAAATAAGCCAGGCACACGAGGACAAATACTGTATGATTCCACTCCTATAGAGTATCCAAAGTAGTGAAAATCCGAGAAAGCAAAAAGGGGATTACCAAGGGTCTGAGGGAGCATGGAGGAGGATTTAGTGTTTAGTGGGTGCAAGTTTCAATGCTGCAGGATGAGAAAGGCCTGGAGAGCTGTTGCACAATAATGTGAACACACTGAATGCTACTCAGATGTACACCTAAAAATGGTTTAGATGGGGGCGCCTGCATGGCTCAGTCGGTTAAGAGTCTGCCTATGGCTCAGGTCATGATCCCAGGGTCATGGGATTGAGCCCCGCATAGGGTCGTGGGATTGAGCCCCGTATCAGGCTCCCTGCTCATCGGGGAGCCTACTTCTCCCTCTCCCTCTGCTTGTGCGTGCTCTCTCTCCCCCTCTCTGTCACATAAATAAATAAAATCTTTAAAAAATATTGGTTAAGATGGTGAATTTGATGTTGTGTGTTTTTATCACAAGAAGTTTTTTTTAACATCTATGTAACAATACTACATAGAAGAGTGAAATTAGATAAAATCAATTTTAATCTTTGTACAACTTTTCTGTACCTTAGCATTCATATGTTAAACAAAAAATAACCTTTAAGGAATGCATTTAATTTTTAGTTACTTCCAATGGCCCTGAGTCTTTCAAGGTTATCCCCTTCCTAAAAATAAGTCATTTCGTTTTACAGATATACTGTGGAAGGACTTTAACAAGCAAATGGCTGGTAGGGATGAGAAATTACTCTTCTTGAAGTAGGCGGTAAAATTTTCCAAATATAACTACTAAAATTTTACAATAAAATTGTCAGGTTTTTAATTTTTTAAAAAAATAAAACTTCAGTATTCCAGAACTTTATGCATTCTGTAATGATGATCTGGACCTCGCCTTTACCTCATCTGATTTTAACACCGAACGATTCAGCATTTGGCCAAAATGTGAATCCAATGCGCCTTTAATTTTAAAAAATGTAAAGCAATGTAAGAAAAAGAAGAAAAAGCAAGCATAGACTAACTGCTTTATAAACCTTAGACTGCACAATGCCCTCCCACCTGTGACTGATACATCTGACTACAGAGAAATCAAATAACTTTTGACAGTAACATATACAACAGACAAAGCTGGAAGACAAATCTAAATGCCAAATATTTTTAATTTGTATCACAAATCTATAACAATCTCCTAGAAATGAAAAACAACAACCCAATTTAAAGACAGGCAAAGATAAAGAGTTCATAAAAAAAGAAATAAAACAGTTCTTAAATTAGGAAAAGGAATCAACATCACTCATAACTGAGAAATGTACCCATTGGTACTTACTAGACTGGCAGAAATCCGAGTTTTGAAAACCACTGTTAGTGAAAGCTATTTGGAAAAGAGGGATTTACATACGTAGCTGCCAGGAATGTAAAGTGATACAACCATATAAAGAACAAATGGGCAAAAATATCAAAATCACATATGCATATATCCCTTGACCCAGTAATCTCACTTGGGGAAATTTATTCTACAGATAAACATCTGTGCAAGCAAAGTTTAGGATTCATCACAGCAACGTTTATCACTGCACAAGAATGCAAATGTAGCAGATATCCATCCACAGGGGACTGGACAAATAAATCATGATGTACTATACAACACCAACCATACAATAGAATATTATGCACTTGGGGGAAAAAAAAGAACAAAGAATGCTCTGTGTCCTGAAAGATCTCCAAGATCTACTGTTATGTGAAAGAAGATGTTCAATAGTGTGTATAGAATGCTCTTTGTGGGGGATGGGAGAAGATGAATTTCTATTTTTATTTGCTTGAATTTGCATTAAAAACCTCTACTCTTTGTATATTACTTTGTAACCAGTCAATGTACTATTTCTTTGTGGTAGACTGCATTATTGGGCCTAATTCTTCACCCTCCCTACATCCACATCCTTGTTATGGCCTCAGTGTGAGTGGAATGTACTGTCCCATCTCTTGACTTGGACCACATGACTTGCTTTGATCAATGAAATACGGGTGAAAACAATGGCATGCCAGGGGCTTGCAAACATACTACTAAGTCATGGTAATCGAGTCATTATGGTATTGGTATAGTAATTCACAAATTGTACACTGGACCAAAATAAAGAATCCAGAATGAGATCCCAGGATATGTTAGAGATTAACATATGACAGAGATGGGTTAAATTCAGTGGAGAAAAATGAGTATTTAATAAATAGTACTGGTACAATTGACTATCTATGTACTGAAAATACAACTGGACTCAGGTCATGATCTCAGGGTTGTGAGATCAAGCCCCATGTTGGGCTCTGCACTCAGCGGAGAGTCTGCTTGGTATTCTCTCTCTGTTCATGAGCTCTAATAAATAAATCTTTAAAAAAAAAAAGGAAATTAAAAAAAAATGGGGGGTGCCTGGGTGGCTCAGTCGGTTAAGCACCTGCCTTTGGCTCAGGTCATGGTCCCAGGGTCCTGAGATAGAGCCACGCATCAGGCTCCCTGCTCAGCAGAGAGCCTGCTTCTCCCTCTTCCTCTGTTCCTCCCCCTGCTTGTGCTCTCTCCCCCTCTGTCAAATAAATAATTTTTTTTTTTTAAAAAAGGAAATTCTAGAACTGAAAATACAATCTCTAAAGACACTACTGGAATTCGTTTATCAGCCGATTGGAGAGGAGTCAGTGAACCTGAATCAGATCAACAGAAATTAACCAATTTGAAGAACCAAAAGAAAAAAAGATTGGGGGTAAAAAAAAAAAAAAAAGGAAGAGGCTGTGTGACAATATCAAAAGGACTTAATGTGTGTGTAGTTGGTGTCCCAGAAGGACAGGAGAGAGAAAATGGGGCAGCACAAATCTCTGAGAAATAAGGACCAAAGTTAAATTTGGCAAAAAGAGAAATTTACAGACTAAAGCAGCCCAGCAAACCCCTATCAAGATAAATACATACAGGGGCTGGCTCAGTTGGTAGAGCAGCTGACTCCCGATCTCAGGTTCACGAGTTCGAGCCCCACATTGGGTGTAGAGATTATTTAAGGAAATGAAAAAATCAATTCCGGTTAAATCCAACAATTAAAAAAAAAAAGTTAAGTATATATAAAATCTAGCCACATCATAGACTGCTACAAACAAAAAGTCAAGAGAAAATCTGAGAGCAGCCAGAAAAAAAAATATTACATACTGGGAAATAACCATTCAAATGACCACTAACTTCTGACCTGAACTAAGGAAACCAGAAGACAGTGAGTGGAACAATCCCCTGAAAGAAAACAAAACAAAACAAAACAAAAAAACAACTGTCAACCCAGAATCCTACATCCAGTGGACCTATCTTTCAAGAATGAAGGCAAAAGACACTTTCAGATAAACTAAAACAAGGAGACTTCACTGTGAACAGACCTGTGCTATAAGAATTCCTAAAGGAAGTTCTTCAAGCTGAAGGGAGAGGGTACCAGAGGGAAACCCTGGTCCTCAGGAAAGAATGAACCAGAAATGGTACATATATGGGTAAATATAAAAGCCTATCTTCTTAACTCTCTTGATTTCTTTAAAATATACTTGGCTTTTATTTATTTATTTTTAAAGATTTTTATTTATTTATTTGAGAGCGAGAATGAGAGAGAGAGAGAGCACGAGAGGGGGCAGGGTCAGAGGGAGAAGCAGACTTCGCGCCGAGCAGGGAGCCCGATGCGGGACTCGATCCCGGGACTCCAGGATCATGACCTGAGCCGAAGGCAGACGCTTAACCAACTGAGCCACCCAGGCGCCCTATACTTGGCTTTTTAAAGCAAAAATTATAGCAATGTATTGTGGAAACCACAGCATTTGTAGACATAATAGTATTAGGAGTATAGCATAGAGTTCAAGGATGATAAAAGTGAAACTATAAGATTGTAAGGCTGTTGCATTTTACATGCAGTGGTACAATGAAGCGTATGTTGTGATCCTAAAGCAACCAGTAAAAAATAATGCAGGGGATGGGGCACCTGGGTGGCTCAGTCAACTGAGCGTTTGACTTTTGATATCAGCTCAGGTCTTGATCTAAGGGTTTTGATTTCAAGCCCTGCACTGGGCTCCACGCCAGGTGTGGAGCCTACTTAAACTAGTAATAATAATATTATTAACAATAATGCAGGGGACTATGGGGGCAACACAAAGGTTCCATATCTTAACAAGAGCATGGGTCCCGTGAACGTATATGCAATCTGCCCAAAATGACGGAACTGTATGCTTAAAATCTGTGCATGCCACTATAAGCAATTTATATCTAATTTTTAAAGTGTTTTCATTAAAGAAAAAAGGGGGCCTGGCACAGAGTAGTTATTCAATAAATGTTAGTTATGATTGTTAGTATTCTGCTAAACAACAGAACGTCAGTTTAAGAAATCTTGTTCTTGAGGTGCCTGGGTGACTCCATCAGTTAAGCATCTGCCTTTGGCTCAGGTCATAATCCCAGGATCCTGAGATCAAGCCCCATGTTGGGCTTCCTGCTCAGCAGGGAGTCTGCTTCTCCCTCTGCCTCTGTGCCTCTCCCCAGCTCGTGCTCACTCTCTCTTGAAAAAATAAAATCTTAAAAAAAAAAAAAGAACGAACGAAATCCTGTTCTTTGCACATGCTTACCTTAGGGCGGTATTTAGCACATGCTTGTCCTTCTGCCTGGCATGTTCTCACCTCATACCCTTCCCTGGATGATATCTCTGCATCCCCTGGTCTTAGCCCAAATGCTGCTTCCACTGGGAAGTACTGCCTTGGCCAAATGCATTCCCTGCCAATGGCCAAATGAAAGCATTCCAAAACCTGTTCTCTCCTTCCCAACGTACCGTTTTGCTCTTTCCAAGTCATCATTTGCTTGCTCCAGCTCTCTGATGTATTTCTGAAGTTGATCCTTAATTGCTTTGGTCTGAGCAAGGTCATCCTCCAAGGCTGAGATCTGCCGGTAGCCTTCTGAGTGCTGTGTTTCAAACTTCTCCTGGAGGACAAAATTGACACTGAGTGTGTGATTTAATCTTCTGATGAGCTGTGTCCTGGAACATATGCTCTCCTGTTGGAGTGGACACTATTGTTTTTAGCTTGTGAGTGTCTGATCCTCCCCGTGTGCACAGCTCGGCAGCACCCTGATTTCTTTAGGGGATTTAGCTCTCCCATATCATAGGATCTTTATGGGACCGGTCTTCACATCGCACTAAGGAGGCTCCAGACATTCTCGTAGCCTCCCACCACAGCCAGGCCACAAGTCTAACCTCAGCCAGTAGAACCTTCTCTCCACAGATATGGACTCTGAAGCAAGTGAGGGCACATGGCGAGAATGGGGGCCACCATTCAAAGTTGTTATGTCCCAAGTACCTCCCACCTCTTGGCCCACAAGCATCTTGCAGCCCGCCCCCTCCTGAACTTGGTCCCTGCAGCCTCTGAGTGTCAAGACCCCCAACAATCTTCAAAGGAATTATTTTGCTCAAGGTGTCCACAGCCATGGAAAGCCATATAAACCTCTCCAAGCCTCATCCACAAACAAGGGCAATACCAATCCACTTCATGTGACATCCCTGGATTGCATATCAGGAATCACAGTAACTTTGGTTGCTTGGGCCTCACCGTAAGAGCAGGAAACCATGTACTTATTCTGACAACTGTTCTAACTTTGTGATCCAGGACACACCCCCTGCAGCATGGGGGAGTTAGAGAGGACTTTTGGACCTTTGGGGGAAGGAGGGAAGGAAGGAAGGAAACAAAAAAGCCCCACAACCTGTTATTAATTATCAAAAGAGCTTAGTGTGATCTGTGCTTTCCAAGGCAAGGACTAGTCAAATGACTTCACGATCTGTTGCTGCGCAATTTCAGCAGCTAACATTCATTGCGTGCTTACTCTGGACCAGCTTCTGGGCTCAAGATAGTTCTTACGTTGGCTCATTTAATGCTACTTCAGAGACGTGAACTGGGGCTACTTCATTAGCCCAAAGTCAACTGGTAGCAAATGACTGAGCCAAGATCCAATGTGGGCCCCTGGGGCTTGTGCTCATTAAACAACTATGCTTAACTGCCCTCAAACATTTCCTTCCGGGCCACAGAGGTATCGACCACACGTGCACATGCACACATACATTCTGCTTTGGCTACTCTTTCAAATCACCTTCCTTCACCAAACACCCTTACTGCTTTCCCTTCATCTACACATGAAAACACGTCCCACAGGAAAGGCCCAAAGTCTAATTAGAAAGTCTGAGGGGTGCCTGGCTGGCTCAGTTGGTAGAGGATGTGACTTTTTTTTTTTTAAAGATTTTATTTATTTATTTGAGAGAGAGAAATGAGATAGAGCATGAGAGGGGGAAGGGTCAGAGGGAGAAGCAGACTCCCCGCTCAGCCCGGAGCCCGATGTGGGACTCGATCCGGGGACTCCAGGATCATGACCTGAGCCGAAGGCAGTCGCTTAAACAACTGAGCCACCCAGGCGCCCTGAGGATGTGACTTTTAATCTCAGGGTTGTGAGTCCAAGGCCCACGTTGGGTGTGGAGATTACTTTAAAAATAAAATCTTAAAAACAAACAAACAAAAAAACAGGGTGCCTGTGGGGGCTCAGTCGGTCAAGCAGCTGCCTTCGGCTCAGGTCATGATCCTAGTCCTGGGATCGAGCCTCACGTCCCGCTCCCTGCTCAGCGGGAAGCCTGCTTCTCCTTCTCCCTCTGCCTGCCGCTCTGCCTACTTGTATTCTCTCTGTCAAATAAATAAATAAAACCTTTAAAAAAAAAAAAAAGAAAAAGGAAACTTGAAAAACAGACACTCTCTTCTTTCCTCAGTCGAGCAAACAAAGGCGTTGCTAGAAAACAGTCGGGATGCACGGGGAGAATGACATAATGGTACCTGGGCCAGAGAGGCGTGGTGAGAGCAGCGTGAGAAGAACTCCCACAGAACAAGCAGATCATTTACAGGGTGGCGACAGGGAGGGCATTCCACATCCTCACGCTACTCCATCCCCTCTGATACTCCGTTTCCTGGCCATGAGCAGAGGAAGCAACTCCCCTCAGCCAAGGAGGGGCTGACCAAGCCCCACGCAAGGGCAAATTCCCAGGGCTGGCTCTGACAGCCTCACCCCCTTTATCTGGGTGCATCTCCAAACAAAACAGGAGCGCAAAGGATCCTACGCCATTAACCTCAATTCAAACCCAGGTTCCAAGATGATGCAGTTAACGGACTTCTCCACCAGCATAAAGATGCAAAGGATGTCCTTTGAACTTGTGGACATGAAAAGCCATTGCTAAATATTGTGCTTTCATTTGGGGCTAATTATAATAAGCTGTCAGCTGATGGAGGCATCAACAGACTCTCTGTTTGATCCCTTATAGGCCTACAGGCCTTCTTATTCAACTTGTGATGAATAAGCCAGTTGTCAAGAAGTCTGACTCAGTTGAAAACATTTCTCTGGGATGACTGACAGATATTTGAGGGTGGCAGTTTTTTTTTTAAAGTAATCTGTACCCCAGCGTGGAGCTCGAACTCACGACCCTGAGACCCCGAGTCACATGCTCCCATAACGGAGCCAGCCAGGTGCCCCGGTGGCAGTTCTATTTACCCGGGCATTTCTAGTTCTTCTCCTGCTTTTACACTCCACACCTCAGGCATCTGTCAGGTGGTTGTCATGAAGGGTCTTCTGCAAGTTCAAAGGCTCAGTCTTGAAGCAGTTAATTACTTCATAATTGCTTGACAGGAGTCTGCCTCCATGGAGGGCCTGGTCCCTCTCCCGACTATGGTTCACACCGCCGATTGTCCTTCCACACAGTGTCCCGTCCCTGAGTCCCCTTCAAGTTAAGCACCACAATTCCTCAGTGCCAGTGGCAGGGGTCGGGCTGCCCACAAAATGAGTGGCATGGACCAGGTGTAAGGATAAAGCAAAGGACACTTACCCCTCAGTGTCAGGGATGGAGGTGGGGGACAGTAGTGGGGACTGGGATGGGCTGGTGAACGCTTGCTCGGTCTCAGTAACTGCTGCCTGGCTTTTCACTGAAGAATGCAGGCCTGGCATGCTGATTCTCAAAGGAAGTCAGAAATCCAGACTTGTATACGAAGCCTCACAACTTTGAATATTGATATTAAATACTTAAACACTAGGGGCGCCTGGGTGGCTTGGCTGGTTAAGCATCCAACTCTTGATTTTGGCTCAGGCCATGATCTCAGGGTCATGAGATCGAGCCCCATGTGGGGTTCTATATTCGGGGTGAAGTCAGCTTGAGATTCTCTCTCCCTCTCCCTCGGCCCCTCTCCCTGCTCACAACTGAACTCTCTCTAAATAAAATCTTTAAAAAACACTAAAGATAGAAATTTTACTATCAAAAGAGTGAACTGTAAACAAACCCTCAACTCTAGTTAATAACAGCATGCTGAAGTATTTACAGGGAAGTGTATAGATGCCTGCAAGGCACTTTGAAATGCATCAGAAAGCTAGATTGATGGATGGATAGATACGTAATAAAAAACAAATATGGCCCCCCCCACCCCCAAAATCAAGTATGGCAAAGGTTATAGGTAGAGCCTAGATGGTGGATATACAGGTGGTCACTGGGAAATTCTTTCAACCTCGCTGTGTGTTTGAAAACTGTCATGATAAAATGTTGAATAAAAACCACGGAAGACTAAGCAAAAAACATCAGTGGGCCAGATGGATCTGTAGATGCCCAGTGTGGGCTTTGCTGTCTACAACATGAAAAGCTTACACTCCACTGCTCAGCTTCTGAGGTCTTTGGGGATCTTTTCTCTGCCCCTCCCCATCCCTCAACCCCCAATCCATTTGTGGGTCCCACTTTTTCCTATGCGCTACTAAAGCCAGGATTCTCAAGTCTGCTTGACATCCATTCTTGTCTGTGTCTACGGAAGGTCCAGATTAACTATTCATTAACCCTTAAGCCCCAACCTGCTGGCTACGTGTGCACATGCACACACACACGCACACACACACTCCCTTCACCTTCAAACATCAGCTCAAATCCCTCCCAGCTCCCCCGGGAAGCTGTCTCCAGCTCATGCAGACCCTTCTCTCAGAAGGATCTCTCGATCAGTACTATATAACTGAGCATCTTTTTCCTTAAGTGCTTTTGGGGTTAGGTTTGTCTTCCTCACAAAGCTTCCAGAGCTCTAGGAGCACATCTCCTTCCAGTATCCACCACACCTCGCCCTTGGTTCTTCCCCCTGCCCCACCCCCGCAGCTCATCGAAATTTACATGGGGAGCTTTATTTTTAAAAATGAAGAGGCACCTGGGTGGCTCAGTCAGCTAAGCAGCTGACTCTTGATTTCAGTTCAGGTCATGATCTCGGGCTCTGCACTCAGCAGAGAGTCTGCTTCAGGATTCTCTCTCTCTCCCTCTGCCCCTCCCCCCTGCACGCTCTCTCTAAAATATATAAGTAAAGCTTAAAAAAGAAAAGACATGCAGACATGCCTAGGTGCCCCCCAGACTTACTCAGATCAGGAATCTCAGGGCGAGGGTGGGTTCAAGCCTGCCTGGCCGTGAGGGCTGAGAGCCGCAGTCTGCAGGGCACGGGCGAGTGCTTATCTGCTAAGCCCTACATAATGTCCAAAAGGCAGTCTTTACCCTTTGGACCAGTGGTGCTCCTGATACTTGGCAATGTCGACAGGTATTTCTGGTTCTCATAAATCTTTGGGGGGAGAGGGTGCCCCTGGCATCCAGTGGGTGGAGACCAGCGGTGCTGTTCAACACCCTACAATGCAAAACTCAGCCCCCACTGCAGAAAGTTACCGGACCTCAAAGGTCCACAGTGTCCAGGTTGAGGAACCTGCTCTAGACCGGCACTATCTAACAGAACTTTCTGTAATGATGGAAATATTCTCCACTTCTCTGTCCAATAACGATACCCACTAGAGATGTGGGGCTGTTGAGCAGATGAAATGTAGCTAGCACAAGGAAGGAATTACGTTTTTATCTTATTTTAATGAACTTAACTGTCAATTACCACACTGGGCAGCCTAACCCTGGACTTTGTATAATCTAATGATCAGCAATCCGGTGACACTCCATACTCCAAAAATGTCTACCTTTCACATGCCTGGTGGGGTTGTGATAGACAGCCAGGAATGACCATGGGGACACATGTGTGATTCGCTTCTCACAGAGCTCCTCCCAATGGGGGCAAAAAAGATTTCCAACACCACTTCCACCCAGCAGGTCTTGAGGGAACAGGGAGCATGCCCAGGGCTGGCCAGGGGCCCCCTCACACAGCCGGGCTCGCTTTCCCAGGCACACACATGCCACGCTGGAAGCCTGTCTGGACATGCTGTCCATGTCCTCTCACCTTGATGGTTTCCAGCTCCATGCGAAGGCGGTTATTTTCCGACAGGAGGTCCCTGTTCCTGGTTTCAATCTGTTGCAGCTGCGTCTCCAACTCAGCTTCATATTCGCGGCTTCCCTCCTGGAATTCTCGGAGCTCCTCTTGCGTGTTCTCTGCCCTACAGAAGTCCCAGACACATTAGGCAACCATTTACTGAGCACCTAGCCGTGCTGTGGAGGGTGATGCATGGATTAGCTTGTCAACCACCTTTCGAGGCAGAAACTAGGCTTACCCTCATTTTACAGATAAGGCTGAGAAAGATGTGACTTGTCTCAACGTCATGTGAGTCAGAAGCAGAGCTCACACCTGAATCCACGTCTGCCTGACTCCGAAGCCATTTCTCTACCAATTCACTCCCCGCTCATTCATTCAACATATTTGGTTTTCGAACTCAACGTGGAGTAAATGTCCTTGGGACTGCGTACCCTCTGCAGATTTACTTGTAAGCAGGAATTGGATCTAATATAAACGTTTGCTCACCCCACCACTACAGTGGGTGCCTGGCCAACCCCAGACACCCAGTTCCAGGTCCTCAATCCTTAGAAGTCAAGCAACACTTTTTTTTTAATACTAAACCTGAGTTATCTTATAGTCAAATTAAGAATAAGAAAATTAGAGTGACTGGAATAAGACCTCCATGTGAAGAATATGAGTCCATGAGAAATAAAAAGAAGCAATGCTGAACACACACACTACTCCCAGATATGGCCACTGAACCGCTGGTTTCACATTTAAAATTTGCAACAACCCATACTGTCAGGCATGGGGACTGACCAGATACGGCATCCCCAACTGATAAAACCCTTCCAGAAAATAGGGTGGGAAAGAGCACAGCGGTTTGCTCAGGACCGGAGGCTTTGACGCTCACATTCTAGCCCAGCTGCTTACTGGCTGGCGTGAACTCGGTGGGCAAGTTACTTGCCTTCCCTGAGGCTCAGTTCCTCATTTGTAAAATGGGGTGATAACTGTTTCCTCATGAGGCAGTTCTGAGATGTAATGGACAGAATGTGTGTCAAGTCCTTTGTAGTGCTTGTCACCTCAGAAGCCCCAAACTGAATGGTAGCTGCCACCAGGATGGGAAGAAAAAGCAGGGTGGACTCGGGAAGACTGACCTCTGCTTGTAAGTCATAGCCAGATCTTTCCAGTAGTTAGCTTCTTCCTCCTCAGAGCTGAAAGTCTTTCCCGAGTCCTCCATGGTGAAAACAGAGCAAGAGGTCACTCTTCTTGTGGCATGGTGTCTAGGAGAGAAAGCTTTATAATTACTATCCATGTCTGGTTAAAGAGCTTATTTTTAATGTGGCGGCGGGGGGGAGGGGCAGCGAGAGGAAGCTCCTGAATTTTATGTTGGATTAATTAATAAAATATTGCCGAAAACTGAAACCAAACCCAGACAAAATACAGCCCACCCACATGTTACATTCCATGAATAGATAAAACTACCAAGATTTTATTCATTTCATGGGGGAATGCGCAAGGAAAAAAAAAGGAGGGGAGGACATCTCTGGGGTTCTGGTTTCGACAACTCACGCCACCACCATCCCCATCACCAGAGATGAAGAACAGAAGGAAAGTCTTTAGGGCGAGAGGATAATGAGCCCAGTTTGGGATATTTCTAGTTTGACATGCCAGTGACACATCCAGAAGGAAGAGCAGATCTGAAACTCTGGGGTGAACTCTGGCCTGATACAAATTTAAGAGTCCTGAGCCTGTAGCTGCTTCTTCCCTCTTTCTCGTGACGGAACTGCTGGAGAATCTAGTGAGTACTATTTATGGAACTCTGAGGAATGCCAATGTTTGGTAGGCAAAGAAAGAAACAGTAATCTAAGGAGACAGGGGACAAATGAAGAGACAAGAACCAGAGAGAGCTGTCCTGGCAGTAGATAGGTGGTGTCAAGGGGAAAAGAAGGACCGGTCCACAGTATCCACGATACAACAGAGAAACTAAGATTAGGACTGGAAAATACCCAGGAGACTTCGTGAAATGTCGGTCACTGGTGATGTGAGCAAGAATAGTTTCAACACAGTGGGGGGGGGGGCGGAAATTGGGCAGAGGAGTTACGAGGAGGTAAAGAAGAGGAAGTAGAGGAAATTTTGGAGAGCTGGGTGTGAGAAGCAGACAAAAGGGACAGTAGCTACAGGGCAGGGGGTGGGAATGGGGCCTTGGCTCTGAGGACTTGGAGAGATCCAGAGCAGAGGCTGGGGAACAGATCTCTATGAACAGTGGGCCATTTACAGACTCCCCTCTGATAGAGCCTTATTTAAGGCTCTGAGCTTGTCAAAAGTTCATCAGGAATCCAAATGAGATGTCTCCAAAGTCCCTTCCTTCCCTCAAGGGAGCTCACAATCGGGTGTCCTTAGGGACAAAAGAATGAACACAACTCCTCACTTTGCAAGGCATAACAAGCTGTATTGTTTTTTTTTGTTTGTTTTTTTAAGAGAGAGAGAGAGAGCTGGGGGCGGGGTGAACAGAGGGACAGCATTTTAGCAGGCTCCAGTTCAGAGCGCAGGGCTCGATCTCATGACCCTGAGATCACAACCTGAGCCGAAATCAAGAGCTTAACTGACTTAACTGACTGAGCCACCCAGGCGCCCCATAACAAGCTATATTTTTGACTACAAATATTAATCATTCAGCTAAATATGTTAGTGTTAACATGGACACAATCACCAACTTCTGGATCCCTGGTTAAAAAAAAAAATCAAACAATTATATTCAAGCACAGCCTTTATTGATAACTAGATTTGTTAGTACCTATATTCACATCTCTCTTTCCTAATTTCTCACCCTTCCCTCATTCAGAGACAACATGCGATGTGCCCCACCCATCCCCTTCTGGGGAACAGAGTTTCTCTGAAAGCTGGATGGAAGCACAGAAGCTGCAAAGAGTAGAAAGCTGTTCATTTGTTGATCTTTCTCCAGTCCAGCATTTCTTCTTCTAGCTTTCTGTAACACCGCTCCAATCTTGGGGAAACTAACCCTACATTCATTCCATGTGATTCAGATGTACTTGACATCAGCATCTAGGAGGAGGCACAACACAGGAGGGATGCCTCCAGCATCAGTAACTGGCTCAGAGGTGGGCTGAACCCAAGCTGAGCCAATGACAGGGGTGGGCCTAACCCAAGCTGAGCCAATAACAGGATGGGTCTAACCCAAACTAGGCCAATGATTGGTTCAGGGGTGGCCCTAACCCAAGCTGAGCAAACCAGTGTCCAGGGCTTTTGCAGAGCCATCAGGAAAGACACTCTGGAAGGGTTAACTAACCTTATTGTGGTAATGGTTTCACAATATATTCGTTTATCAAACCATCATGTTATATACCTTAAACTTACACAATGTTTTATGTCAATTATATCTCCATAAAGCTAGGAGAAAAAAGAAAGAAACTCTTCCCACTAGGGTAAGATGGTAGGAGGTAAGCCTGGAGCTGCCAGTGATCATCCTTCCATCACAAGGGAGGAGTCTGCCAGAGAATGAAGTCAAAACAGAGAAAAGCAGAGCCAAGAGGTGGAGGCACTGGGTCCTGATGATCTCATTTGAACACCGGGATCCAGTCATACCTGATTTAAGGTTATGAGAGATAACCAACTCCCTTCCTTGACTATACCAGTTAGGGTTGGATGGCTGCCACAGAGGGTCCTAATTAAGGTAGGTAGTGAAAGATGTTGTTTGCTGAAAGTAAAAAGAATAGAACACCTAGAGTGTAAATAACAGCAATTAACATGGCAATGGGTAAGGGTAAACTTAGATGCGGTACTCCCTGCTCAAGTCTTAAGCTCTAATGAGCCCAACACTCATCTAATATGAAGTCACCAAACCAGCCCCTATAGTGTCAAAAGCCCGTGCAACTGAGTGCCGTGTGACCATTATCTTATTGAAGACAGTCTCAACTGCATGGCACGAGAGTCCGTGTAGTAGGGCGAAACAGTTAGGAACTAAGAACAATGGATGTAGACTGGCTCTTCCTGCTGTTTGGGAAAATATCATATCCAATATTTAATGTAATTAGTTCCTGCCTACTTCTCTAAACGTTCCCCAACCCTACCCACCCCCCACATTAGCTTATGTTCAAGCCACATGGCCTTCTTTCCGTTCCTTTTTTTTTTTTTTTAAGATTTTATTTATTTATTTGACAGAGAGAGAGAGGGAACACAAGCAGGGGGAG